TAAAGTGCAATAAATAAATATTTTTTCTAAGCATAAATATGTAAGCAGTTGAGCTTAAGTGAAGATTTATTGAACAACCAAATATTGAGTTTTAAAAGCTCAAGAATATACGCAATATTTGAATATTTTATAAATAAGTTGATTATTCATTACATTATTAAAAATAAGCAATTACACAGATCTCACAATATGAAAGATAGGGCTGGACGATATGGCCAAAATTTATATCATGATATATTTCTTAATTTCGGTCGATACGATATAATTCCGATATCGAGATGAACACTATTAAAAAAAGCCTCATAAAAACTGCCAAGAACACCCACAACAGATGTCTGTACCTACAAACTTATGAAAACTGTATTTGCCAAGTCTATGAAACCTCTTCCTATAAAACTGCACAAATAAATTAATGTTCACCTTTTATTTGTATTTAGCCTTCATACAAACAAGAAATGTGAAATCACTGTCAAATAAACATCTCAGGCTCACCTTATTAATTCTTATTATATTTAACTTCAAACTATAGGCTAACATACCAGTCCAAAATTTTTGAACAGTAAGATTTTTAATGTTTTTTAAAGAATTCTCTTCTGCTCACCAAGCCTGCATTTATTTGATCCAAAATACAGCAAAAACAGCAACATTTTAAAATATTTTTACCATTTAAAATAACTGTTTTCTATTTGGAAATATTTTAAAATGTAATTTATTCCTGTGATTTCAACGCACAATTTTTAGTATCATTACTCCAGTCACATGATCCTTCAAAAATCATTCTAATATTCTGATTTGCTGCTCAAAAAAACATGTATTATGATGTTGAAAACAGCATAGAATTTTTTTCAGGTTTCTTTGATGAATAGAATGTTTAGGAGAACAGCATTTATCTGAAATCTTTTGTAACATTATAAATGTCTTTATCATCACTTTTGATCAATTTAAAGCATCCATGCTAAATAAAAGTATTCATTTCTATAAGTAATGTTGCTGAAAATCCAGCTTTGATCACAGCAATAAATGACATTTTAAAATATAGGCCTATTGAAATATAAAGCAGTTATTTAAAATAGTAAAAATATTTCAAACTTTTACCGTTTTTGCTGTACTTTGGATCAAATAAATGCAGGCTTGGTGAGCAGAAAAGACTTCTTAAAAAAAAATAAAAAAATCTTACTGTTAAAAAATCTTTGACTGGTAGTGTAGGCTGATTATTCTTATAGATTGAAACAAATGTGCTTCAGCCAGGATAGAGAGTATGAAAAGTGCTCTGAGTTGCTGCAGAAAACAAAAAATTGAGCAACAACAAACATGTTGCTGTCTGCCAGCAGGAGGTGCTTTGAGAGCGGTAGAACTAGCGGTTTCCCCGGTAATGGCTGTAATCAAAGCAGCTCAGCTCATGAACGCTACTTTATCAGATAAAATAAAAATGCCATCGAAACTTTTCTGAAGACAGTCGGTTCCCTTCAGAGATACATTCATGTAAAACACCCGCGTCGCGTTTTGATTTTGAAACATGCAGAGCTCATGTTTATTCAACGAAGTCAAACACCACAATAAAAATCAATATATGGGAAACACTGGTAATGTATATCGAAATATCGGAAATGTGTTTAAAAATCATATCACCGTTATTGAAGAAAATTATATTGCGATACATATTGATATTGAATTATTGTCCAGCCCTAATGAAAGATTAATAAAACTCTTAAAAGCATTTCTTATTAACTTAATATTAAAAAGGAAGAACGGTAGACTTAAAACATTTAATTAGATTTATTAAGCCCTATTCGGACGGGACAAGTTTCCTAAACTAAGTTTGAGTTTCTATTCTTATCACCTGACGTCTGCGATTTTCATGTACCAATTCGGACAGGACTAACATCTCCGTGTTTATTACAGAGGTGGGAGGGTCCGTTTTGTACATCTGGGCGTCACAGAGATCACGTGCTCTGTATGCGTGCATTGCGTAGTCATTCGGATTGATTACCATTTAGTATAATCACACAAATACCATGGTGAAGCTAAATGGCTAGTATAGCATAACCATGTTAATGTGTGGTTAATTTAGTTTAACTTTTATTTTTTTATTTATTTGTAGTAAACCCATGTTTAATTTTCATAAAGATACATATGTAATTAAAACATTATGTAATTGAGTCATTGACTGTATAAAAACATGGACGTAGTGTCCGTGACGTCCATGCGTGCATTGCGTATAGTCATTCGGATTGATTACCATTAGTATAATCACACAAATACCATGGTGAAGCTAAATGGCTAGTATAGCATAACCATGTTAATGTGTGGTTAATTTAGTTTAACTTTTATTTTTTTATTTATTTGTAGTAAACCCATGTTTAATTTTCATAAAGATACATATGTAATTAAAACATTATGTAATTGAGTCATTGACTGTATAAAAACATGGACGTAGTGTCCGTGACGTCACCCGTAGTTTTCTGAAGAGCGTTTTTGAAGCTCAAAGTGGGCGGAGCGGGCCGTCACCATCTTGATAGTGCGTCACCGCATGTCACTCCCAGATAATCGAAAATGGGCAAAAAGGCAGGAGTTGGTTGCTGAAGCCACGTCCACCTAGCTCGACGGCACTGTCAGCAGCGGCAATCCACCTGTCACTCAAGTGGCCACGCCCTTAATTATGCAGAATTTTAAGGCTTAATATAATTTAAACGGATGAGTTATAAAAACATTCACCCCCCTCACAGTTGTCATGAAGGGCAAAATTAGCTATATAGACCAAAATCATTTTTTGAACCAGGCTGTAAACATGTTTTTTTCTGCTGTAAAGTTGGGCATTTTAACATGGGGAGTCTATGGGATTGACTCCCTTTTGCAGCCAGCATCTAGCGGCCAGTTGACGAATTACAGTTTAAGTCACTTCCATGTTGGCTTCACGAGAGAGAGCGGGAGGTTGCCGCTTGAATTGAGTGCAGAAATGAACGCGAGTATGAACTTACCTGACGCTGATATTACAATAGCCAGTCTTAACAGTTTATGTGATCTGGCTCTTGATTTTATTATTGCTATTTTTTTTTTAATTTCTTTACCGGGAGGCAAATATATCAAACATGCATGCAGTAAGAGCCTCTACGGTAACTGACGTTGGCCAAAACACACAAGGAAACGCGTTGTGAAAAAAAATATCGCCGGCAATCACAGACATTCGCATTCGGACGAGATTAGTTTTCTCAGAGGATCACGGAGTTTTAGGGCTGGGTAAAAAATATCGATATCTCGATATTAATCAATTCTCTTTTTTACGGAACGATATCGATTCTTAAATCCCAAGAATCAATTAGTCTAGCCTGTTTTCAGCTAATGGATGGAACATTGAAGGGTACTTCCCATCCAATATATCGCAATAAGCATTGTGCTTTGGTACTTTTATATGAAACAAAGTCTCAGATTTCAAATTATGTCCATTGTATTGCAGTACTCAAACAATAAATGTCGTTTTGGCACTAGACTAAACATCCGAAGGCAAGTTAAAAGAAAGAGTACAACTTTACAATCCGTATCCTGTCTCATGTAACAGCTCAATCAGTGTTTCCTCTGTGCAAAGACGTCAATATAACGTCTTGTAAACAATGTCACATAATGTCACATTTGCTTCAGAAAAACATATTCGGTGACCATAAACTCATTAGTCAGATAGAAAAATAAACTGTAGAGCGGGGCATTTTGCTAAATATATGCACTATATAACATATTCATTATAATTTTTACTGTTCTTACATGTTTAATTTATGTTTGAATAAATCCATCAAGTTTTTATGACAGCCACCATTATGTTCATATTTTTTAAAAAACAAATTGAAGTAGAAATGTTATTATGTAATTGTAACTTTATTATTTTAAAACTTCATTAAGCGTAATTTTAACAAATCAGTCAATTTTAACCTTCAATATTATAGTAATGTAGTACCAACTGACTCTCATGTATATTTTACCTTCACTATTATAGTAATGTAGTACCAAATGACTCTCATGTATATTTTACAGCATTAGTTGAGAGATTTTTTTTTTTCCTTGAGAAAATTTGGCATGTACTATACCTGATATATATCCAAAATAATCGATATTGAATCGAATCAAATTGGCAATCGAATCGAATCACAAGCTTGTGAATGAGAATCGAATCGAATCGTGAAATTTGTGTCAAAACCCAGCCCTACTGAGTTTGCTGAAAAACAGTAGGTAATTTGCTCTGGAATTATTACAGAGGGTGTGTGAGGAAAAACAGACGTGGCAGATTCAGACGGGATTAAATACGTCTGTGAAACACAAATTTCTCAACCCCCTGTAAAACTAGTCCCGTCCGAATAGGGCTTTAATCTAACATGACATGTCCAGATTCTTAATAATGGAGCATAATTTCTACATTCATATTTTCAATGCTACATTCACAATGCAAATCCATTTAAGCAGCAGGCAAATGTCTCAGGCATGTAGGTCAAATCCCTACATCTACATAAGAAAAGCAGAGAGAAATATGTAAGTTAGTCGAATTAAGCTAGTAGCAACTTACTTTTAGAAAGAAGGCACTAAAGCAACACTGATGAGCAATTATTTTACCTGCTCATGTTTCTAGGCCTAGCCAGAATCTGTGCCTGCAAAACTCCAGATTTCCACAGAATGGGAATACCCATCATTCACAATTCTACACATTTCTTGCCTCTTGTATTTTAAAATACTCAACACAGAATTCCATAGATTTTTCTTGATCTGAATATAACTTGAAAGCAGAATCTAAATTGTCCGTATCTGGTCCTGTAATTCAACATTTCAAAGTACACCAAAACTTCTCTTGCATTCTCTTTTTAGTCAGCGAGCATCACAGATTGAATATGACAACTTCTTTTTAGTGTGCACTGCAGTGCTGGAGACTTTTAACTGTCCAAAAAAGGGACACAAAGGAGACATTGAAGCAAAAATCACCTGATGGAATGGGAATGTGCAGATGAAGCTGAAAGCCCTACCTGATACATATAACTCTCCAGATTGGCCTGGTGAACTGCCAGGCCTCCAAACATACGATAATTTACTGCTTCCTGAGGGCATAAAAGGAGGAGGAGAAAGAGCTCGGGGAAAGTGCCAGAGAAACACAGGAGCAAAGACATTTTAGGAAAGGAGACACTAGATAACTAAGAGGGTACAAGGTAGCATCCACGTAGATGATCATGCTACACTTGTAAAACTAAAGGTTCCAGAAGAGGTTTACGCAGCAATGCTATAGAAAATCCATTTTAGTTTCCCCAAAGAACATATAAGTGAACAGTTCTTAAAAGATCCATTTTTTTTAGTTTAAAGAACATGAATAACCTAAAATCTACATTTTTTTATTATAAAGAACGAAAATATTCTTCATGGAACCATTAATGGCAATAAAAAAAAAACGTAATTATGTGTAAATGGCAAAAAATTATCTTAAATTAGAAAAATCTCTGATGATTCAATGCAGAATTGCATTGCAGTAGACTGCTATCAAAAGCAAAATCCTTCTTTTCCATCCCCCCCCCCCAAAAAAAGTAAGAAAATTCACAGATGTTTATTACGAGAGATCTGAGGCCTGATTCAACAAGCTAGTAGTCAGTCCCCAAAACAAAACAGGTTATGACAGCTCTTTAGCACAGATTAAGCAGGTTAGTCATTGGTCAACACAGTAAAAGCAGCCAGTCTTACCCTGCGAGGAGGCTGTTGGCTCAGGTCTGGGAACAGCAGGAAGCGGTCTCTGAGAACGAGGCTGGCAGGACGGCACTGACATTTTCACAGGTCCCACATACTGCACGTACGTTCCTGGAAAGTCTCCCCTCTGTTTGGTTCGCTCGTTAAAGCCCAAGATCCAGCCGATGCATTCTGGGTGCTCCTCCTCTCCCTCTTTGATGCCCAGTGACAGCAGAGACGCTTTGTCGACCGTCAGGACATCACCAGGCTCAAGGTCAATGTCATCCTCCCAGTCCTTAGAGTAGGAGTACAGAGATCTGTACTGGAAGCCATCGGCAGCCATTTTCAGAGTATGAACTGACAGTCGGACTGGGGATGAAACGTTGCGAGGGTGCAAATGATGTTGTACCGTGGGACGTTTGGTTAAAAGCTAAGCACTTCTGACCGGAGCTCATAAACGGGCATGCGCGGTAGCAACAGCTTAGACCTGACCGGTGTTGGCCGAGCAGGCCACTTTTCTCAACTTGAACCCGCGGTTCAACCAAATGATGGAACAGAGGAAATGCAGCATGCTCATTCAGGCTTCGGAAAAGAAATAAAGAATGAAGTCCTTCACAGATTTATTTTGCCAAATCAGCTGGTGTCATCTTATAGCAGGTTGCTCAACATTCCCTCTCAAGATGTGATCCTCCCAGTGTAACGTGATAACTGTATGGAAAAAAGACAAGTACATTAAGAGTAAAACACTAACACAAAGTTTTTCTAAAAGAATAACAATCAAATAATCACAACAACTTAACAGTCGAGCTTCAGCAAGGCTTTGCATAGTCCAGTTACAGCCTTCATCTCGGTCGAAGTATACATGACAGAATGTGTAGTAAAATATTCAAAGCATTAAATAAACGTTGTGCGTCACCTCTGTCTTTCAGAGAAAATGCACAATGCCGAGGCCAATTGTAGTCTGATTAAACATGCTGGACAAAGACTTAGGTCTGTTAATCCGACTTCACAAAAACAGGAAGAATTTTAGTCGGACTGAAGTGTTTACATTTTAAAAATACACATTTTTTAACAATCTGACTGAAATCAAACTTGTATTAATGCACTAAACATGATGCACCTCATACATGCGTCATATGATTCGTAATTCGTAAGACCAGGTGAATTTTTTAACTCCATAGTCTTAAAGCAAACAAAACCCAAGGCACAACCTTACCTTACTTACCTTGAAACAATTAAAGCCAGAAATATCAAAGCCGTTAATGTCGCAGTTAGTAACCAAATATTTCAACTTCAGCAAATAATCAAAAAGATAACTGCCTAAAAAAAAAAAAGATGTTCACAATTGTTTTTGGGAATAGCATTCCTGAATGAGCACAGGTCACTTAAGTTTCAAAATAATCCAATATGACGTCCATATTATTCCAATTATTACAGTACGCAGTTGATATTAAGCACATTTGCAATATGCATCACTTATATGACGGAATGGCTAAACGTATAATTTTTTTCCTGCGCATGCGCACCTTCGAACCAGGGGCTTATGCTCATATACCAATAAAGTGGCATTTTAAAGGATTGCCGACGCCGTGGAAAGATTGCATTCTAATAAACAACGTCAAAGTGTTCGCAGGCATCACAGGGCAACACTCACCCCACTTTGACCAGGCGCACTAGGGTCTCAGTCCAACATCCTCTGTGTGGAGAAGAGAGGTGCAAGCGCAGACACGTGGCACTGACATACCCAACCACAGCCCGCAATCCTCACACCACCGAAACACCCCCTCCGAAACACGTCATCCCCCTTTCCGCCTTTTCATCATTATAACTAAAGTATTTCATGTACTGAACTGTATGACGGAGTTCATTCAGGAAAAAAGAAAACGTCCATTCTGAGTCTGAGTGCTAAAACAAAGTTCTGCTGAGAGAAATCCTCATCTTTACAGTCAAGCACACTGCTTAAACTGCAGGACGGCGGCTGACGGATTCGTACGCATCCTTTCCTCCCCTTTATTCAGTCTGAGCAGAGCAGTTTGCAAAACACTGTGACCAAGGCAGAGCACAAAATAATTAATGAATCGAGGCAGGAAACTCACTGTTGCTACAGAAGGGAAAAGGTAATCCTGTATTCCTATTGGGCAGCATATGGCCATGTGCTCAAGAATCACCAGAGAAGCTGGGGCAAATCAAGCAAACGTTCTAATATTAGAAAATGTATCTAGGCAGTGATCAAACCCTAAACCTTTAAACTATACTGCTTCTCTGCAGTGGATAACTTTTTTTGCTCATTATAGGAATATGTTTATGCCTGTATGACATGTTTTAAGTATTCTGAATAAGAAACAAGCAAAGCAAAATCAAAATGTTTGTTGGGTGAGGCTTGTCTAATCAGGACTATGGCACATTATCATCATAATGATCATTCAAACACAGGGAAAAGGACTGGATTCTGCTTGGGCTTCTGCTGAGAAAACATGATCAGGATTCTCTGTCATATTGTGCATGTCTTCAGCCTCAGGCTACCAAGGTAGGAGTTTTAATCCATCCACGAGACCTGTCTTAGTTTTAAGAAATTAGGACAGTCACAGTATTAGTGGAGAAGGAAAACGATGAGCCTGTCTGAGTACGGAAAGCTTATGCAATATTTTTTTCCTCTCTCATTTCATTGGCCGAAGTACCTTGACTAATGCCCATGAGTCTGGTGACAGCCAGTATTCTCCAAACAATATATCCTTTTAAAGCCTGGAGTGTGCAGGACTGAAGGAACGGCATACAGAACATACCCTCTGGATATATGGCATGCAATGGTTCAGATAAGGACAGTTGCTAATTAAAGTTAAAGTGGGTCTTTTTATTTTAAAATACTTTCTCAAGTTAATGTGCGGCCAACTATAAGTAAGCCATTACAGTTCATTCCCATGAAAAATGTAAACACTGTAGTGCTTTCAAAACATTGCTCTGTTTGTTTGAGCATCCTGACGAGCCCAACACAGCAACACTGGCTCAACCAATGGTGTAACTCTGGGGGCGGGACTACTCGCTTGGCAGATGAGAAAAATTATTGCTATCTTACATTTCTTAACTATTGTCACCTTGACAAGATGTTTGCACCTATAATTTTGATTTGCCCTGAACAGTTCCTATAATTTTTTTACAATGTTACTTTACAAATTATTTAGAAGAGTAATCGGAAATCAAGATGAAACAAAAGCAGCAACAGATCGTTCATATTGTGAGATACATCCAAGTGTAACAAATTATTGAAAAAGAAGAGGACTTGGTTCTATCAATCGGCTATTGGTTGGATTTTGAAAAAAACATTTGATAGAATTATGGATAAATAATTCACAAGGCCCGGTCACAAACTTTAGGCAAAATTAAGTGTAACCCCTCTCTCCTGGGTCCTCACCGCCACACCTCGTTCTTGCTCCGAGTGGGTCTCCGGCATGGGAGGCGGACGCACTAACAAAGAGGCTAAAGACTGCCGCCACTAGCATAAGTCGCTAGTGCGTCTCCTGAGATCAGGGGAGTGAGGTTTACCTGCACAGCACCTACCGCTGGCCTCCGTTACATAAGCAGGTAAAGAAGGTCCATTGTCCGTTATCAATAAAGTGGCAATGCTTTACTTCCAACCTAATCAACTTTATATCGGTAATTTGCATGTTCAAAGTTTTCCAAACTTGAATCCAATGTGAAATATTTCCCCTCGAAATTTCAGATTGTGCATATTCCTATTCAGATGACTGCATTTTGCCATACAAAGGTAGATAACATTTACATTGTCATTTATCATATGATATGATATATGATATGATATTAGACAAGGCTGCAGCATTATATCTATAACTTGTAATCTCAAAATAGCTAGGGTGAATTTTCATTTTCGTTTCATGCTGATTTTGAACAGAAATGTATCATTTAGTACATTACTTCTTCGCTTAGCTAAAGCAATCTTAACGAGACGCAACGCACAGACTAATAAGGCCGTTTACACTTGGTATTAAGATGCGTTTTGGTCGATCGGATCACAAGTGGACAACGCTAAATACAGGTGTAAACGGGGGGTGAAATGTTTTGAGCTTGTCCACTTTCGACCACTTCCAGAGGTAGTCGAAAAAGCATTCGACCGGATTAAAGACAGTGGAACGGAGCGACAGAGATTTACCCTCCGGCTCCGGTTCCACTCCGGGTTTTACATTCCCCTCTCCTGGAACAATCCTGAGAGAAACTCGCTCTGAAACAAACTGGCTATATCTCAAACAAACAGTGAAAAATCCTTGTGCTGTTATACTAAAATAATCAACACTACCACCATAACTAAACTAATCTAGAGCTAACTGCGTTATAAGGCGTCGAATATAAGCGGTGACTGACAAATGGACACTTCAAATTCAGAAGGGTCTAAATCGGATTTAAAAAGTTGAGTTTGTGGCATAAATACTAAAGTACGTGCTCGAGTCATGTCACGCGCTGAAGCTCTTGCAGGCTGTTAACTGTGTATCTGCTGCTTTGATCAGGCAAGGCGAACATGCTTCTGCATCATGCAGACCAAACGCATATCGGTCTGCACATTTCTGTCGCCCACTAAATCCGCGATCTTAGCAAACGGCTTCTTCGAAATGTTGCAAAGAAATAAAACGTTGGCTTATCGTTAGAAGCAAACAAGTCCGCGTTTTATATGTCGTAGCAGCACACTTCGCGTCTTTTCCACCATTTCCCCACATTTGGAGGCTGCTAGCTAGCCATCCTGTTTAGTAGAGTAAAGTAACGCAATGTGCAAAACTTGGGAAAACTTACCCGTGGCAAGTCGTTGCAAAAGCGTTGACGGTTTTCTTTCGCATGTGCGATCCTAACTCTCGGCCGGACTCGGGTTTTCAACTCCCATCTACTCCCTCAGCAGAGTACAGGATTGATTTCTTTTTCCTTTTCATTCCGCACGAATCTTTTCAACTTGCCGAACTGCCATTTTCCAGCGCGGAGCTGGACAGGACTGCGTGAGAACTAGAGAAATCGGGACGGAGAATAGCGGAATGAACCGAAAACGTCCGAAAGACTACATCTCGGTTAACACATGAAGCGTTCATCATTCCTGCACTCTCTATTGCGCCATCCCGCTGTGGTTAAGCGAGGTAGTGTAAAAACCCGTTCATAAAAATGTAGACCTACAAGTGATAAAAAAAAATAAATAACCATCTCAAATTACGCTATTCTTTCAATTGCCTATTGGGCTTGTTTTATCATTTATCAGAGTACCGAGACATTTAAGTAATTTAACAATTTCAAACACTATTATTTTATGCAGCAGGCCAATGTCATTAAAATATATGTGATATATGTAACTCTCTATATAAAATATATAAAATGTAAAAGTTTGGGGCCAGTAATTTTATTTTAAATCAATGGCTTTATTCCTCAATGATTAAACTGATTAAAAGTGACAGACTTTTGTATCGTTACAATAAAATTATATTTCAGATAATGCTGTTCTTTTGAACTTTCTATTCATCAAAGAATCCTGAAAAACACAAGTCCACAAAAATATCGCTCAGCACAACTGTTCTAAACATTGATAAGAAATATTTCTTGAGAATTAAATCAGTTTATTAGAATGATTTCTGAAGGATCATGTGACACTGAAGACTGGAGTAATGGCCGCTGAAAATCTAGCTTTGTCATCAGAAGAATAAATTATATTTTAAAATAGTTGTTTTAAATTGCAATAATATTTCACAATATTACTGTTTTTACTATATTTTGATCATAAATAAATACAGCCTTGTTGAGCATAAACTTAATGATTTTTAAAAAATCATACAGACCCCAAACTTTTAATTTGAATGGTAGTGTATTATAATAATTTCTGGAGGTAGTTAATATACCACAAGCCACCAGTGCTTAAGTATGAAAAACATGCGTGGTCAAAGCACTGAAACCACTGAAATATGATTATCAGCAATTATGTACACATTTAATCATGGTTAAATCCAAACTTTACAAATACATTGAGCGTGAGTGGATTTAGTTGAGAGTCTAGGATCTTTTTGAGTCCATGGCTGTGGAAAGAACTGGATCAACTATACAAATTCAACTTAAAACAAAACACTACAGTACCATACAAAAGTAAATGAAGGTAGTATGTGAACTCAAGGAAATAGTGCCACACAAATCTGAAGTACAGAAGAAGAGAAAGACAAGTCAGACTGGGAGTGCAAGTATCTAAACTTCGTCTTCTGTCTCTTTAGTTTTGATTAATGAATGAGGAAGCAATCCAGTTTAAGCAAACCATTACATAGAAAGCTCATGTTACTCGTAACTGAATCATTTCTGTGTAACCAAACAAGCAGATGCCAAGACTTCAGAAGGCTATAGTGCAGATTTAAACTATGGCATTTATATAGGGTACTCACAAAAACATGCCATACAGCTGTTGTGTGAATTCAAGAGAACAGACATTTCCACAAGTCAGCCTACAAAACACTGAAAGAGAGAGCCACCATTTGTTAAAGATTACATATGTCAAATGATTTCAGTTGTACAACACTGCTAGAACACATACCGAATCCAACACATTATAAATAAAAAGTTGTCACCAAATTAGTATTCATAAACCATTTTGTTCTTTCTAAGTAATGAGAACAAGTATGCTCAGGTAAACATGATACTCTACAATGCCAACACTGGCCAAATGGCTTCTTACAAGTCATTGTTTAGGTGCTGGAATATTATTGGGTGTGACTGACTGAACACAAGACTGCATCCAAACTTGCAAAATGGCAAAAATAATATTAGTCAACATATAATAACTACATTTTGTTGACCACTCAGACATTACATGACATTATATGACAATATTACTGATATTTATGAGAGATGAGAATGAAAAAACAACAGTAATTGAACCTCAGCAGGACCACATATGTGCAAATTCTCAGAAAGCGATCCTACTGTATGACCTTTCTATTCCCGTCTTTCAAAATCTACAAAAGTTCATTGTGCTACCTGGTAAAACAAATT